GGAAAATAATTCAAAGATCATTTGAACTACTCTCTGTATCCAAAAAACTTAACACTTTATCTACCGGGCTATTTAGAAACAGTGTTTAATTCAAAAAAGAATTTTCTACAGGAGCATATGCCAATCTAGGCTGACAATCATTCCTTCATACTATTACTGGGTACATCGAAAGCCAAGTCTGTTCCCAAAAACTGAACATTGTTAGTAGACAACCATCGACACAGTAAATAAATTCGAAAAGCTAACCACTGCGATTAAAAAGCCTATAAATAGGCTCCCGGTAAATAAAGTGTTAAACGCGTATTCTCACCAGTTCAAATAAGCTGACTACTATCTCGTGACACCGGCGCAGGTGATAATTTATTTTTGCACTCACCGTTTCGTCCTGTTACGAGAATCTCATGTTCTCCAAAAGTGTTCGCGGGCACAGGCACTTTCGCTCATGGCCAAGTTCATTCCGTTGATCGACGAATCCTTCGGTAAGTTGTTCCTGATCGAGATCCACAAACCGTCACATTTTGATCGCGCGCGTTTCCCACACCGGCAACGTGGTATTCGTACTCGCCCCGCCGCGCACTTGTCACGCATCGACACTCCCACGTTCCACGACGCGCGCACTGCGAATGATCACGCAGGCGAGATACGTCGGCGCCCTTACGCCGGTGGTCGCGTACACGAGCCCCGGCGACCAATCGGAGCGCAGCCACCACCACCGCGCCGACCAATCGGAACGTCACCCAAGCTTCAAGCGTGACGAACTTACCGACCGGTACACCTGTCAATATAATTTGAATGTTAAACACGTGTACAAGTTCGATCAACTTATTTTTGCATGCCTTCTCGAGCAGCGATGGGCAAAACCCTAGGCTTCGAATAAATTTGAAGTTTGCTGATATGTTTGTCTCGTTTCCTCTTTTGAAAATTTCCCAAAGAAGGAAACGAGACAAACATATCGGCAAACTTCAGATTTATTCGAAGCTTAGGGTTTTGCCCGTCTCTGTTCTCGAGCTTCATCGAATTACAACAGAAAGGAAATATTATATTTATTATTGTTTAACCCTTTGCGCTTGAGGCATTTTTCTATAGAATCAAATCGAGTCCATTTTTATAACAAATTTCCGTAAAACCAAAAGCTCTGCTTCGAAAAGAAACATCTAAAAACATTTACCACTCAATGTATATTATTTCAATGAATAATTAGTTGTATTTTGATATAAGTGAAATTGAAATTGTACGTTCAAAAATCACATTTGAATTGTATATGTCGCCCTAGAGGCGCCACTCGAGCGCAAAGGGTTAATATTTGACTGATACATTTTTGCATTTCTTGGTGTTTTTAGATATTGTGAGGTCAAAAATTCCAATAAAACCGTACAAAAAGTTCTATTTTTCTCTGAAATGAATTTCTGTAACTATCTCGACTAATGTTTTGATACATTTATCTAATTTGAAATTGTTTTTACTGATTTTGACTGACCGAAGTTTAATTCGTTGGGTATAGAAACTTATTTGAAGATGGACTGGAATATATTATATGCTTGCAAAATATGTTATGTGTTCAAAAGGTAGCAAATGCGATGATCAAAAATCTCCAAGGTCGCAGTTTTCAGGACTTCAAGGTCACCGACTATTTTATAAGAATGATGTACTTTCGTTATTTTAGAATATCTCCGTATGACATTCTGAAGAATCATTTTTCTAAAATTATGTTAATGTACAGAGAGAACTTAACGTTAACATTCAACATTTTGGCAATTGTCGATCGATAAATCGAATTACCGATCAGCGGTACAAGGTCGATTTAAACTTCTAGAAGCGCTCTTTCAAGTCGAAAATCATATAGACTTCAATAAATTTCTTTGCAAATAAACACCGAAACTTTTACAATTTTCAAACCTAAAGTCAGAAACATTATCATGTTCGTTAATTATTTGACTAAGGCTAAGGATATAATTTCATTCGGTTCCGACAGCTCTAAGGATCGCTCGTAGCAATTGCAATTACGTTCAATTGGTCTTTTTTTAATCCGATCGATCGATTAATGCTCAACATTAATCACAGAGCGCAAGACCCGGAGAACCGAATTAGAATAGGAAGGAAGACGGCTTGTTCCGCAGCCGTTGGTAGATATATGATAAACGAAATGGAACTATATAAGGTGGCGCGGTGGCATGCACTCCGTGGTAGAATTATGGTGCAAACCGTAGGCCGTGCTTTCGAAGTGTCCGTGCTGACCGCACTCCTGACGCTGCTGTTCGTCGATCAAGTAAGAACGACGGCGAGGAACACGACTTCCAATGATGCAGCCGCCGTGTACCGCTGCGGCATGCTATAACCCCGTAGAATGTTAGCGCATATCTCGTGTACCAGTGTCTCCTTGTTCTATTCTCCTCGACCAGAGGTCGATCAATACGTCGGTTTTACCCACGGTTCGCCCGTGTCTAGACAATGAACCCCTGTTCGCTGTATTTCTCGTTCATGAGTAAGTCTTTTTCCACGTTCAATTTTGTTTCTCACAACTCGACACGTCCTTTCATTTATACGAACCAATTGTGCGCGACAAATTCATCGTTAGTGCACGCTTTCTCGCGGCAAAAACAATCCTTTCTCGTCGAATGTCCCTCGATGGGATGTGAGAGTGTCGGTGAAGTTTTTGTGCGGCAAGTTTTTGTGACGTTTCTCTTTGAAGATTCGAAGGGTGTTCAAATTTCTACACGCTTGTTTCTGTTACTTTTCCATCTATATTCTTCTGCAGAAAATATTACATTGAATGTCCCGATATTTGTGATGCTTAATTTTGAATAGATTGCACTTACATTGATGTCATTTTCGTTCAATAACAATTTCTTGCTTTATTTTTAAGGTGTCTTCTAGGCTGTGCAATGGGGGGCATGTGTAAGTTTAATAGCTGCTTCTTTAAACCATACTACCTGAATTTTTGAAACATATAGGACAACTAAATTTGATTATTTTCAGCTGCTCTCCTCCAAAAGACTGTTGTTCCTTTGGTTGTTGTTACGGTGTATTCCAAGTGCACACTGCATCAGACATGTTTAATTTCTTGATTTGGACTTATTGGTACTTATGGTTAGTTCCATGCTTCTTTATGTAGCCACTCTTCTGTAAGAGTTGTAGTCAATATATGTTCTATATTATTTAGGGCAGCGGTACTTATAGGGTTGACCATAGCAGCAGCATATATTGGTTGTTGGCTATGGAGACGCCGCAGATCGGTCATGGTGGAAGATTGTGCTTCTTCGGATAGAGCTTCCACAGGACCGTGGTACCCACCGCCACATTATAGTCACTGTAGTTCTTTCGTTCAAGCCCTGCCACCTCCCTACAATGAGGTATGTACCACATAGTGACACCATTGACACCACTTGTATAAATTCATCGTATCAACACAATGGAATTCTAGGTTACAGCAAAGCCTGATCTGTATCCATTGGTGATCGGATATGACGAGGGATCTGGCAAAGGAACATCAGGATTTGTGATGCGCTACTTCAGATCCCTTTCGCATGCAAGCACATTGGATTCCTTGAGCTCCAGTTTCATGTGCAATATGGTAAACGAAGCAAATACCATAATTCCTCCACCATACTCCTGTAACAACAGCGTCGACGAGTTATCTGCAGTGGAATGCGAGAGAATGGAAAACATGGATGTTGGGTCTGTTGTTTCGTTGGCTAATCATAGGACAACATCTGACATATCGAGTTTAGCTGCTCAATCTCCGTGTTCACCACCACGGGCTACTAGTCCAACGATAGAGGTATTGATTTTGATAGTATCGCTGAATATTATTATTCATTGATAGCATTAGATTAGGGATGCAGTTTTTAAAATGTGATAATATTTTACAGTTACGTGAACTGTTAGATAAAATTCAACAGCTACCACAGCTCCCCAGTGGGCATAGCACCGTTTTGCCTTGTTATCAGAATCGACCTCAAGTTTTATGCACAACAAATGCAAACGGCTCTACGCAACGGCCTTTAAGTCCAGGCGACGTTGTTGGATCATACAAAGCCAGAAGGGCACGAGGAAAGATGTACATGCCACTAGGACATCCTGGCTCGAAGAACAAAACAAAAAGATGGCTATCGCGTTCGGCGCCGACGACACCGTCGGGTACGATGCCAATGTCGTTCTTGCCTGGACAAAGTAGGCGACCTTCTGAAGCGGATGGCAGCAATCAGCAGGTGGTTCCGTTGCTCTCCGAACAAGACGAAACGGAAAACAATGCCGTGGACCATTTGAACGGCATTCCACCTCTGTCCGAGCAAGAAGAAGATCGGCAGCAAACATGACGAATCGTCTAAGTATTTTTAAATATTAAGAATTCGATTCCAGATATCGTCGCCCCTCCGAGTAATCTGTATATTTTTTAACGTGGCTGGTAAACAACTCCTCGTCGCAGTTTTAAGCGAACCGTTACCGTGTATAAAGTTTGGCAAATTGATTTCGTCCGAAAGCAAATAACCGCCAGCGCTCCTAGAAAAGAGAAACGTTCAATGCTGTGACCTAGTTTCTTTTTCTCCGTATTTACAGCTAGACGCCATAGTAAGTTTTTCTTTTTTCTAGCGAGTCTTCGAAACCGAACCGTTACGAGGTAGAATGATAACGTACTCTATGGAATAGCTTGCAGTTAAATTAACGAAACAGACACGACAAAACACACACACACATACACGAAACGTTACGATGATAGATTTTACGTAGACGATATAACGAACTACGCATTTTGAACTCTCCATCGAACCAGAGTTGGGCACACTTTTATCTAGATGAAAGCTTTACTCGTGGGTCACGAATGAAACGTTATTCGTTATTCGATATTTGAACGAGCCTAACGTTGTCTGTATGCCTTTGTGCGGTATTGCACGTGATATTTACGCATTGAATGTGATTTTTGTGTGGAATGTGTAGCTTGCGTATTGTATGTGATTTTTCTGTAGTATATACGCGAATAATTACATAAACGCCACCAAAGACATATTCCACGCAAGAATCACATTACTCGCAGATATGAGACAAATATCACACGAGCCACGTAAATCACAGCGCAAAGGTTACACATTCCGCACAAACATATGACGAATACGACACAAAAACGCGACAATTATCAATTACCAAAAAATCACATTCCACGAATACCACACAAACCGTACAAAAAAAAAAAAACACGTTAAACCCAAAAATGCGACAAATACTACTAA